CAGAGTATAATATGATGATGGATTCTCCCTATGAAAATTTCAGTCCTTTTACAATTTATCATTTTACATTTAGAAAGTACATGCTATTGCAAGCAAAATAATATCAAATTGGCAAAATTTCATTAAGAAATAAAAAAAGTTATATATAGCCATTTAAGAGAACACACCAGTATGATTAGGTGAGTTTAATTAACATGGCAAATGTTCCCTATGAAAATTGAAGTCTTAATTTTTACAATATCAGAATTTCTACTCTTTTCTATATCAGTATAACTTTAAATTTTGGGTCATTTTTAAATTTAAAGGATTGTAATTATATTGATAATTTTTTCAAGGAATGAATCAAAGAGCTGAGATGTATACCTATATAGTTTTTCTTCATACAAAAACTTACGATGAAATATGGCACAGTTAGATATTCTTCATTTAATTTATACACTTATTATTATCATTAAATTTCCCAAACAATTAGTTATGAAATGAAAAATACAATTTCTGGTAAATTGAGTCTAAATTCTAAAAGTGATTGTAATCTGCACCATAAAAGACAGTACTGAATGCATTGTAATAGGAAAGGTCATATTATATGTATGCATATATATAAATTGGTAAAATTAAATTGAAATGTTAGAAAAGTATATTTTATGAATATATATTTTTAATCTGTTAAATAAGAAAAAAATAAAATGTTGAATAAATGATGGTTTTTTAATTATGAAAATGAGTTGCAACAGATCTTTGAATGAGCAAACCATGAAGCCTCATGTGTACATTCAAATACATGTATTTTGATTTTTTTTTTTTTTTTTTTTTTTTTTTTTTTGAAACAGATACCAATAACTGTTTTCATGTGATAATAGCACTAACAACATAATTAGTCCAACATGTTGTTACCTAAACTTAATTAACAAGGTTAACTATATTTACTAATTATTAGCCATTGTCATCTTCATTGTTTTGCAGTAAAAAAAACTATAACTATACATATTTTTGTATGTCCATTAATCAACACTTTAAAATGTTGTTGTTTTTTCTTGGAAAATGTTTTAAAATAATTTTTAGAGTAGGTACTCCAAAACAAAGTATATACACAAATTGATAATAAACAGGAAATGGCTCGAGTCATCATCAGTCGGTGTGGAGATGAATTGTTGAATATATGTGTATATCACTGTTTACATTGAAGTTCTGGGAAAAAAAAGGTGTGAGAATATTCCCTTCAGGCTAAATTTTACAATATATTTTCAAAGGTGTGAAATTGGAATCCATTCAATGATTTCAATCTGATCACTCTTTTACAACATTATTATAAGATTTTCCAGAATCAATAATAAAATTACTCTAGATCTCTTGAAAATTCTTCAGCAAATCAAAGATACTGAAATACAATCAAGCCTTTGGAAGCAATTTCAGTACTCTTTTGAGATGGGGTGGGGTACATGTAAGGAGGTGGGCTCAACTGATGAAGAATTTATAGAAGCAACTTTTATAATTTTGTTGCATAATATTCGTAGCGTAAAAGAGACGTCTGCATATGGGGGCAACATTTCTTCTGCTTGGTTTTTTAAAATTGTTTTAATTTTATATTTTGTTTTACTGAATAACGATAAAATGTGTGAATCGTTAGCTTTCCACTCTTACTCTGTATTTGGTGTTGATGTGCAGTGCTAAGTTTGTACAATCTCGTAAGATTTCAATACATGTATATAAAAAAAAAAACCTGAAATAGACTTGAAATTAAACAACAGTGGCCTTATCGGCAGACATATGGCTGCAATTAGCCCTTTGTTTTATTTCACAAGTCCTGCATCTAGTATCTGAAATGTACTGTTTGTACACTTTGAATACAAGATTATTGATAGGAAAGTTAAGTATATGTGTATACTTTTCACACGGAATTTACATTTGGTACATCATTAACTTTCAAATATCAAATTATATATTCTTATTCATTTTTACTATTTACAATTTAATCAGTTTGGTCTTCCACGAAAGATATTTTTAAATGCGAATGTGATCTACAGGATAACATTAAAACAAGGTGATTGAAGTTATATAGTAGAATAACATATTATCTTCTTTATATACCAACAGTCCTAAGGGGACCGCTTTGATTATTTACTATAATTTAAATCAAGGATCTATAAATTGTCATTTTTTTCTACTAAACTTTAAAAAAAATTCCTTTTCGTCCAAAGTTTCTTAAAATAAAAGTTACATTGGCTATTATTGTTTAGATGAAAAAAATAAATCACGTAAACGTAAAGACCATAAGTATTTAAAATCTATAACTTACATTCTAGAAAGGGACATAACTCTGTAAAGAGTATCGTATTATGCTATAGTGTCCTAGATCGGACATAGATATTCTTTAAGCTAGAGTTAAAGCTATAATTTTATAAATGATTTATTTTTATTTTATCGATAAAAAACAATAATAGGACATATTCATAAATGCGTCACAAGACCCACTTCGAGATATTGACTCTGCTGACTTCTAAACGCTTTAGCTTTGGACGGGACTATATTTTTGGACGGGGGTGTCGATCCCAAGTTAAGCTCAATCTGATTTTTTTTTTTTTTTTTTTTTTTTTTTTTTTTTTTTGATATTTGTCATCTGAGTTTGATTTCACAGAAAAATAATCAACTTCTGTTGTATTACCTGTTTTTCTTAATCTTGCAGTAAATGTTTGAATACTAATAAAGCAACTTATTAAGTCTGCTGTTAAACCTACCCCCCCCCCCCCAAGAAACCAATATCTTCACCCCAGATCTCCATAGGGTATGATACATGTATGTATATACCTAGAGGCATTTAAGAGTCTTTTGTTTTCCCCAGGTAGCAAAACTGTCACAATTTGCTTGGAACTAACAAAACATACACAAGGGATATTAACACACAGCAAGTCGATTTAACAAATGAATCTACAATAGAAATTCATGAAAAACAAACTCCATGCTTTTACTAAACCTTTGGATTAAGTCATAATTTTTTTTTTCATTTTCAATTTAAAAATTAAATCCAAACAATTTTACATCGTTCATAATTGATAGCAAACAATTAATATAAAATTGCATCCCCCCCCCCCTTAAGGACAGATGATACAAACAAACGTTTGTCAAAAAATTCGAAAATATAAACTTGAATCATGTTTATGAAAGTAAAATGAATGCTCGTATAGCTTTTGATTTTTCATTCTACGTTTCACAAAAATGGGATTTGAAGTGACAAAAATTTATAGGTTACTATTGATTATCACATGAAGGATGGTTGGTGAATGATACAATTTTGAACATCATAGAAAGTTAACAATATATCAAAATGTCGTGAATTAAAAGAAGAAGAAGGGGCTTTATTGAGGCTATGTACTGGCTGGACTTTTAAGGACATACGCAACGTAGTTTGAACTTTATTGTCTTTTACCTTGGAGTTGAAGAGTTCCAATACTTAAAGGAACTGTGTGCTACATTTGTATGTCTATATATGCTGTTGTACACTTCTTTTAAATCAAATTTGGATAAACAAAACATCTACAATATGTGCTTAGAAATTTTTGTATATTTTTCTTTGAATTATACAAGAATTTTCATCAATTGATATCTTTTCAAAGCCCCTGGTAATGCATGCTTATTTTTTGTCTACGAACATCTCATGGTACTTTAATCTTAAATTAAGAATATCTTGAAAAATTATCAGTAGGTAAGGTACGTTGCGTATGTCCTTAAACTTGTACTGAATATCCCACTGACCATGCAAATAAAATTTTCTTGGCTTTTCAAGGGAAACATTAATTTTTATTTTAGAGATACAGAGAGACTACCCACCCGTCCACTACCCCTCCTCCTTCTTATCATGTTCTCAATGATCATGATGATGTCCCATTTATATAAAATGTTAATATTTTTGGTATTGGGCATTTTAATTACCATTATTACCCATGGCAGTATTTACAACAACAACAAAAAAATCTGAAAAAAATAGGCCTGATAATTTATTTCATTTCTTTGTTTTCTCATGAACTATGCATTGTTTAAATTAAAAAAAAGATAAACCAATAAATAAAAAGAAGCAGTAATATTCTATCTATGGATTCACTTCTTAAAAATTCTGTGCAGACGGATGCATTATATTCCTAGAATTACCCAATACCAACCAAAGAAAAAAAAAAAAAAACGGCGACAAGATTATGAGGATATTGGAATTTCCACATGATGTTTGTAAACAAAATTATGACGAAGACCTGCTCTATTTTTGTAAGTAGATCTAGAATTATTGAATTTGTTATTTATTTCATTTAAAGCATGTTAATACATGGCTCATAGATTCTTTTTAGACGGAGGCCTCTAGCCTCCGGCCTATAGGGATTGAAATCCTAACAAGTTCATTTGAGGTCAAAACCCCCGAAAAATTGGTAGTCCTATCGGATGGAAATTATACTAGGCGCAGATAACTCTACAGCCTCAATCGGAATTCCTCGGATGTGTCTCGCGCATTCATTTGCATTGGAGAGCACATTTCTCTCATCCGTACGTGTTGTTTATTTATAGATTGCGAATGATATAATGCATACTATAGACTTCTTATTTTTAAAAAAATCTTTCACCTTCACTTGACAAAAAATCGTAATAAATGGTCATAAGCGCTCCCCTATTTTAATTTTGTAAGTGTTGAAATGATAAGTATATCGGTACTATGGAATCGACAGGGCCTGCAGTGTCTGAGTTTCACGGTGCCCTAGGTTGTTACGTTTGTTATATTTAACCATTGTCTTCGGGGTTCATTGCTTTCAGTACACGGTGCCCCAGGTTGTTACTCGGTGAAAAATAGTTCATAGAAAAAAATCTTAAGTAAATGTTCGTATGTGGTATGCAAATTGAAGTATATAAAAAATAAAACATAAACTCTTAACATGTGATCCCCACCTAAATATTAGATAAGGATGTTATACTCGAATAATGTAATCCAGTGCGTAATGATATCTTGCACATAACGCTCGTGGCTTTGTTTACTAAGTTTTCACGCTTTCCTGAAAGCCTCCAGCTGCAGAAATACTAAACAAAGGTATGTTATGAATTTCATGTATTTTTATGTTGCATGCATAGCTTTAGGCATACGCTGTTTGTTTGAGATAGCATTTGTCTATTTTGTTTTTATAAACGATACAATGATGTAACAAAATTACAATTCATCCCGAGATAGCGTGGCCGCGTGGGTCTCCACATTGTTTTAAAATACAATAACACGACAAACATTTAAGTTTAATTATGCTTTTGTTTAATTTAGAAAAAGTTCCGTACAAGTGTGTCATTTTCACTAGTGGCTTTGTTAGAAAGTGTTACGTTTTCCTACACCTTCAGCAACCAGACAAAGGTAATTATGTTACGATTTTTTTATTTGTTTATATTAGCATGCAGTGAGTGGCAATCGTAACTATTCGGCCATTTTCGTGAACGTTTCTCTTTCGGAAAATAGCCGAGTTTTTACGAATGATAGCTACGATGGGGGCTCCATTTACAACGCTTCAACAATATTATAAGCTAATAAATTCATCCGGAAATGGAGTGGCAGGGTTTGTATTTTGTTTATAAAGTACATAGACACAAGAAATATGTGAATGTTAAATTTGGAGAAAGTTAATGGGGTTATTCAGTTAGGGAACACAGAAATAAAATTCACAGAAAACAATGAAGTCACCGCAATAAGCAATGTATTAAGACATTAAACTTGTAGTTGATGTTTCACAAGGAATAACAATGACATAAGTAATGAATGTTTAGAACTGTCTTGAAAATTGACTTGAAAGATTGACTAGAAATGTAAATAAGACTATGAAGACTCAGAAGATTTACTATAGAATTTTGTCTTTGGAAAAATTTACAAATGATTGAATAACTAATGACTTTATTTGAGTGAAGCATGAAAGGAACTTATTTAATAGAGAAAAGTCTACAGTTGTTTTAGAAAGTTTGCATAGAAGCAAATGAGAAACATGAAGTTGAACTGAAGTTGAACAATTCATTGTCTGAGAATCGGTTGTATAACACATTTTTAACTTAAAGCATATGTTTTGTCTTTGTTTTGTGTTAATATGTTATTTTTTGGGGGGGCTGAAGGCACACTTTTTTTTTACTTTTGACATTTTGTCACAGTAAAAAAAAGCAAGATTGCTCATTATTTTCATTTTCGTGATAAGTCTTAGCATTGACACATAATGGCTTCAACTTGTTCAATGAATAATAGTTTAAATGCAGTTGTTCCACAAACTGTGGTGCAGGCTGATTACAGTCAAGGTTCAATACTCTTTTCAGAGGATTCAAGAGGAAAACAATGCATTTGCAATTGTTTAATGTTTTTGGTTTTTGTGTCTTTTAGAAAACATGTGTCCTTGAACAAATCTGACCTACATGAAATATTGTGTACAGGAGATTGGATGTACAAATGTCTTAAAAAATCCAATGATTTTTTTCTCCTATCTGACTTGCCAAGCATACTTGAATATAAGGGGTTATTTTATTCAGTTGTGAATAAGAAAACAGAATTTGGTAATATGTCGGAAAATTTGCCAGAAGTTGGAACAAAGCTTGAAAGTTGTTTAAATCTTGTGTTTTCTAAACAATGTGCATGCATACTTGTGTTCAATGCATCTGCAATTGCCATCTATTTTGATCATATTCACAATAAATATTTCGTGTTTGACTCTCACAACAGGGGAATCAATGGTTTGTGTGATCCAGATGGCACATGTGTGCTTTCCTCATTCAGTTCTTTTCAGATCATGTGCAATTTTTTACGATTGCTTTGTAATTCTGTTACATGTAAGCAGTTGCAGTTTGTCCAGTATGAGGCAGGTACATTTTGTGTTCGGCAGTTATTGAGGTTACCACACAGTGTTAGAAAAGCAGATATCATGCATTTACCTGACTTGTCTTCTAATTCAACAAATGAAAATGTACATCAGCATGATGAACATGGTTTACTTAAATCGTTTTTGCAAACACCAAAGAAAAGGCAGCGTCTTGTAAAGTTGAACTCAAATGATGGAAATGAATTTGCTTCACCATGTAAACAGCAGTGTTTTCTATATCGTGATAACAAGAATGATGATATTGAAATAAATGATCAGATTTCCAGTAAAACATCTTGTCAAAATTCTTATCTACATGAAGACTTTATAGTTTGTGACAATCGGACAGGGACTAACTCTGAACCTGGCAGTAGTACTGAGGATTCGGTATTCATGAAAGATGGTTCCACTATGAATTTACACAAAGATGCAGAGAGAAATCTCATGAACTTATCAGATTCAGAAACTGCTAAATTCAAAAAAATTATTTCCATTGGTCCAGTTTATGTTTGTTCATGCTGTACTCAAACATGGTTCAGAGAAGGTGTTCAAAAAGCAGAGTCATTGTATGTGTCTGCTTTAGCACAGCAATGTTTATTGGGTTTAAGATGTGAACAGGGAGTTGAATGGTTGTGTCACACATGTTACAGATCCATTAAGATGGGGAAAATTCCAAGTTGTGCCATTTATAATGGTTTCGGTTTTCCGTCCAAACCACCAGACCTAGAAGTTACGGAAATGGAGGAGAGACTCATAAGTCCTAGAATTCCTTTTATGCAATTAATGGAGAAGCCAAGAGGAGGTCAGAAAAGTTTAAGGGGTAATGTTGTAAATGTTCCGTCAGATGTTAATTCTACTGTAAAATGTTTACCACGGACATTATCAGAATCTGAGACAGTTCAAGTTAAACTGAAAAGAAAAATTAGTTTTAAGAATCATGTGTTACATGAAGCTATCAGACCAAAAAAGTGTTTAAATGCATTGAAATGGCTTTTACAGAACAGTGAATTGTTCAGAAATGAAGGTATCACAATAAATGAGAACTGGGATATAATGTCCGAGCAATCTGAATGGTTTGACTTTAATGAAAAATATTCTACACTTGATAATAATCAGAATGACAGCATGGAAAATCTAATATCTTTGGATGGTGATGGATGGACAGAAGATGAAAATTTTGATGAAAGACTTACAGGAAATACAGATACATTGTTGCACCCTAGTGATGTAAGATCATTAAACAAAGTTTTCTCATTTGCTCCTGGAGAGAATCAAACTCCACTTGGACTGTATCAAGACCCAGATGCAGAATATTTAGCTTTTCCAACCTTGTATTGTGGTCAAAGACGTCCAAACAATAAAGACAGGCATACACCTGTCACATATAGTACAATCTGTAAATGGGAGTTACGTTCACTTGATCGTAGAGCGGCATGTTGCATGCCTAACCTTTTTTTCAAGCTGAAAAAAGTACAAATAAAGCAAATTCAGGATAAAGTAGCTCTAGCAATGAGGAAATGTAAGTCAGAGGAAGAGAAAATTACTGTTGGACAAGTTTTAAATGACTCATCTTTTGACAAGTTGGTAAGATTAAATGAAGGGTATAGAGTTTTGCGAACATTACGTGGTTCACCTGCATATTGGGAAAATGCAAAAAAAGACATCTTTGCAATGATTAGACAGCTTGGAGTTCCAACCTGGTTTTGCTCCTTCTCAGCTGCTGAAACAAAATGGACAGGTCTACTTCGTATTCTTAGTCAATTGTTGAATAACAGAAATTTGACAGATGAAGAAATTCATAATTTATCATGGATAGATAAATGTGAACTGATTAAAAGAGATCCTGTTACCTGTGCAAGATACTTTAGTCATCGGTTTCAAACATTCTTAACCCATATTCTGAAAGGCAAAACACAGCCTTTAGGAGAGATAAGGGACTATTTTTGTCGTGTAGAATTTCAGCAAAGAGGATCCCCACACATACATATGCTGATATGGATAAAGAATGCCCCAAAGTTTGAAGTCAATTCTCTTAAAGAAATACAATCATTTATTGACAAACACAGCACATGTGCTAAAAATGAAAACATTGCTGAACTCATAAACTACCAGACACACAGACATGCTCGAACATGCAAGAAAAAAGGTCAAAATATATGTCGCTTCAATTTCCCATTACCACCAATGTCTGAAACAACTATCCTTAAACCTCTTGAAGAAAAGGACTTTGAGGACAATCCAGAGGTACAAAAGAACTATACAAGAATTTGTGAATTTCTGAATAATGTGAATTTGGGAGAATTGATGACATTTGAGACTTTCCTTCAAAACTTGGAAATGTCTGAAGAGGTTTACATAATGGCGATTCGGTCATCCCTGAAATCTCCGAAAGTTTTCTTAAAACGTCAAGTGCCAGAAATAAGAGTGAATTCCTATAATGAGATGCTACTCAAGTCTTGGGAGGCAAACATTGATGTACAGTTCATATTAGACAGTTATGCCTGTGCTGCTTACATAGTCTCCTATTTATCAAAGTCGCAGAGAGGAATGTCAAATTTGCTGCACGAGGCATGTGAAGAAGCTAGAAAGGGAAATTTATCCCTTAAACAACAGGTGAGACAAATTGGAAACAAATTTCTTACACATGTTGAAATTAGTGCACAAGAGGCAGCATATTTACTTTTGCAGATACCTTTGCGGTTGAGCTCTAGAACAGTGGTTTTCATAAATACAAATGAACTAGAAAACAGAACATTTTTATTGAAGCCATTAGAAGTATTGCAAGAACTGCCAGACAATTCAACAAATATCCAGTCTGATAATTGGATAAAACGCTACCAAAGAAGGCCTAAGGCATTAGAACATTGTTGCCTAGCAGACTTTGTGTCAAAATTTGACATAATCTTACCACCTAAAGACAAAAGACAAATGTTGAATAATGAGTACCTGCCTGAAAATGAATTGGAAGAGGAAAATGATGATGATTTAATTCATGGACAAACTAATGACATACAAGTTGAAGATTTTGAGAAGGAATACCCCATGACAGATGGTTCAATCTTGAAGCATAGGAGAGTACAAAAAATAATCAGATTTGTAAGGTTTAACAAGAATCAAGATCCAGAAAACTATTTTAGAGAACAGCTTATGCTGTTTTTACCTTGGCGAAATGAACTGTCTGATTTAAAGGGAACACATGTGAATTATGAGACGAGTTTCATTCAATACCAGGAAAAAGTTCTGTTGAAGAAAAATGCTTATGCACTTGACAAAGGTGTAGCTGATATTGTGGAAGACAATATGCTTCATATATCTATTGACAAGGAAGAGGTGATTGCAGCTGAAGTTCAGCATAGTGAAGAATTAGACTTAAGCTCGGAAAAAAAAAATTGCATGGATCATGGTTGCTTTATTCCTGAGTCAATTGGAGTTTCTTATGATTTAGGATTAGATCTAGGAATATCCAGAAAGCAGGTGGCAATTAATGATCTTTTAGTAAATGCAATGGATGACAGAGACTATATCGAACTGGTAAGGTCACTAAATGTAAATCAAAAATTCTTCTTCTATCATGTTTTGCACAAAGTGAAAACGAAGCAACTTCCTCTATATTGTTTTTTATCAGGAGGTGCGGGAGTAGGGAAAAGTGTTCTCACAACTTGTCTCTATCAAAGTATTGTTCGTTTCTATTTCAAATGTCTGTCAGACAAACCAGATGAAATAAAAGTTGTTCTCTGTGCTCCCACTGGTAAGGCTGCTTTCAATATACATGGGCAAACAATTCACTCCTTGTTTTGCATCCCTGCCAACCAAAATTTGAGGTATACTCCTTTGGATGTTCAACAGTTAGACTCAATGAGGGTCAAGTTTCGTTGTCTCAGAATGGTATTTATTGATGAAATATCTATGGTAGGCAACAAAATGTTCAATTTTATCAATATGCGTCTTCAAGAAATTTTTGCCAATGATCAGCCCTTTGGTGGTATAAGTATTGTAGCAATTGGTGACTTGTTTCAGTTGAAACCAGTATTTGATGGTTGGATCTTTGAGAATTTATGTGAAGGCTATGGACCACTTGCAATGAACTTATGGGGAGATCTGTTTAAAATGTATGAGTTAACAGAAATTATGAGGCAGAAAGAAGATAAAGATTTTGCAGAGTTACTAAATAGGCTTCGTGAAGGTCTGCAGTCAGATGATGATGTTAGAATGTTATGTTCAAGGCAAGATTGTCTTGACAAAGGTCAGAATCCTGATAAATTGCCTCATTTGTTCACAACAAATGTAAAAGTTAATGACCATAACATGGCAGCATTTCGGAATGCTCCTTTTGTAAAAAAGTGTGTTATCCCAGCAATTGATTTTGTCTCTGGAGATATGGCTAATGATGTGAAACATAAGATTTTGAACCAAATGTCAAATGACCCATCCAAAACAATGGGTCTGTTTAAGGAACTCTATCTTGTAGAGGACTTGCCTGCAGAAATTTGTATCAACATTGATGTAAATGATGGCCTGACTAATGGTACGCCATGTATAGTGAAAAAATTTGATTTCAAAGTCGAAAATTCCACCAGATGTAGTATTGTGTGGGTGCAATTTGAACTTGAGAATATTGGAGCTTCTAACAGAATGAAATACTCCAAATATTATAATGATGCAATATCAAAATCATGGACTCCAATTCTTGAAGTATCCAAAAAATTTACTGTTGGAAGAAACAAGACCTGTCATGTGTGCAGAAGACAATTTCCATTGCGATTAGCCTGTGCCAAAACAATACATAAAGCTCAAGGCTCTACTATGAAAAAAGCTGTCTTGGATTTGGGAAAAAGAAAACAGGAACATTTGCATTATGTTGGTTTGAGTAGGGTTCGAAGTTTACAAGACTTGCATATTTTAGAATTGAATGATAAGAAAATAGCTGTCTCCCCTAAAGTTATTGATGAAATGAGAAGGCTCCGTGAGCATGCATCTCTGTCACTCTGTTTACCAAATCTACAGAACATTACAAGTGATGTGAAAATAGTATTCCACAATTCAAGATCTCTTCATAAGCATATTGAAGACTTGAAAAGTGATATAAATTTGACTTCAGCAGATATAATTGCAATATCAGAGAGTAGATTGAACAGATTAGATATTGATGGTATTTATGAAATTCCTGGTTTTTATATGTTTAGGTTTGATGGGACTGATAAATCTGACAATGATAGACCATTTCATGGAATGGTTGTATACTCAAAAATAGATTTCATTGAAATAGAATATTGTATTATTCTTGGAATTGCAACAGTATTTGCATCTTTCCTGTTTCAAGACATGATAATGAATGTTGCATTTCTATACTGCCCACCCAAGTTTTCTAGTATAGCAAATTTCACCAAATACTTACAAACTATAATGCAAGCAAAATTTTATAAAGCTGGTCCGGTCCTGATACTTGGTGATACAAACATTGATTTCAATTCCCAGAAGTCATTGACATCAAATTTGCGAAAACTTGGACTGCGACAACTCATGCACAGTAGTACTACAGACTATGACACTTGCTTGGACCATGTTTACTCCACGTTAATGTCAAATTCTGATATATCATGTGCAACCCTAGATTCTTACTACTCGGATCATAAACCCATAGTTGTTTATTTACCAAAGTAAAGATTTAAGGCCATTTAATCTTTTTTTCCCTATTTGACAGTTTACTGTCTTTGTCCTCAACATGTGTGTGCACATATATCTTACTTTAGGATAATTCAGAGCAAAATGATTTCATGAGGCCAACTTTAAAAAATTGTTTGGTTGTCCTCTCCAACCGACTGGCTCAAAATGACCTGACTTAAAACTTTTTTCAACCTCCAGGAATTACACTATTTTTTTTTTTTATTCCTGAATTTTCCCATTTGTCAACATCTTGAAATTTTCTGAGAGAAAAAATTTTCCTTCCAACATACTAACCCAATTTTTTTTTACCCTGTGTCAGAAGAGAACAAGCAAACATTTTAAATATGGCCTGATTAAAATGCAATTTTACCTCTTTCTCTCTTAAACATATACGGTGTTATCTATTCTCTAACGTGGAAATAGAAAAATATATATGTCATTCATTCAAAAAGTTTGTGAAAGCATTTTACAAATCACTACAATTCTATATTTTGATTTTTAAAAATTAATTTTTGTACTGAAAAATCAATATTTGTAATAAATGCAAAAAAAGGAGGAAGGAAAAAAAGGAAGAAAATGGCTGAGTTACATGTTTTTGAAATATTGACAACATTATTTCAGGTCCTTACATGGATAACTTTATATAAACCTGAAACTCAACAGTATATTTGAAATTATCATTTTCAGATGAGTTTGAAGAAATTGGAGGATCTGCTGCAGACTGGTCAAAAACCACAGCCGTATCCGACAAGTCTTGTAAAAGTGAAGGTGGTGAAAGTTGGTCATATAGCCAACTTCACACAGTCAAATGGCCAAGAGGGATCCATGCTGAACTTCAGCGTAGCTGACAATAGTGGTGCTGTTTTGGCAACGCTAAGTGACGTAAATCAATTTGACACTGTAAAAGAAGGCAAAACACTCCAGATAAGGAATTTCCTCATGAAAGGAGGCAGACTAGTCTTGACAGAGCACACAAAGATCATGCAAGGTCCACTTTTCGACGTTGATGCTGTGCACATCGAAAAAGCCACAAACATTATTACACCTGCCTCGCCAAGGAAGACAGTAAAGGAAACAAAGGATTTGCCTCTGAGGCAAATGGTCACCATCCAGGGGGAAATTGTTAAGGTTAGTAATTATACTCCAAATTATATGATTATGAAAATTGAGTTTTCCAAGCATTTAGTTTATGGTTTTCAATTTATAATTGCATTTTTATGTGACAAATTTCAGTGTACTTCAAATTAAAGATGTAAGAATATTGTAAGAATGCATCTTTAAAAAAAACATTTTACAGATTTGTTTGCTTCCTAGACAATAGGTTCACTATAGGCCCCATGAAGAAAAAGTAATAAACAGCTAATAATCTGATATAAGTATTGTAAAAGAGTATTCAGTGAATTCTTTGTATTGTGCAGGATGAGGCTATTAAGATCGTGAAAGTTAGCCAAAGAGATACAAATGTCAGAACAATAACCGTAGAGGATGAAGGCCAGCTCATCGATGTGTCTTTGTGGCGCAACTTGGCTGAGGATCCTTTGGTTAAAATAGGAGAAAATTTGGAGATAACGCATTGTATCACATCAGAATGGCAGAAGAAGCCAACTTTGAGTACTACAAGAAACACAGTGTTAAGGGTAAAGTTCTTGTCCCGACTATAACTTTGTAATGGAGAATTATTGGAAGCCCATATGAAACAGAGATTGACATGAGTGTTTCTGATCTTAACCCTAGGTCATTCGAACAAATGCAAGGTCACCAGTAGAAAATAGTAAAATACTATAAATTCTTGTCCAGAGTATATCTTAGCAATGGAAAATAATTGGAATTTCATACTTGAAACATTGATTGTTTATGGCCTAAGGTGTATGAAAATTGAAGATAAATTTGTATTTTTAGCATAACACATAAAGTTTATAATTTCTTTTCAGAAAATCCTTCCCAGAGAAATTATCATATTCGGCACTGTTGAGGCCATTTCCTTGAAGGACAATGGAATTGAAATTTCTGTGCACACAAATGATCAATACAAAGATTTCTTTGTAAATAATGATATCATGATTGAGAAAATAAGCGAATTGCAATTAATGGAGAAGTCTGCAAAAGAGGAATTCCTCCTTCAGAAAATTCCCTTTCTGATTGAATTGAGAACACAGGGGTCAACTGTTTTAAACATGGAACTTCTTTGAAAAGCATATTAATCTCAGAAAATATTTGTTTCTGTCATTCATAAGATACCAGTGAGACAGACATATTTTCAATTTTACAATATTTGTGTTCAGGAATGCTCATTTTTGGAAGGAAGGGAAGGTATGATATTACAGAAAATTTCAAAATTTTGTATGTCCATTGTTCATTTATACTTATCACAGAAAAGTTTTCCAAATGAACTGAAAATTATCTTATACGAATAACATTTTATCTCAATAAGTACTTACAATTAATTTGTGCTACTGAATACTAGTTTGTAGTTTTGTTCTCAAAATATGTGTTATTAACTCGGGGATTTTGTAACTTTTGCATTGTTTCTGAAGTTCAACATTTATATGATTTTTTAAAACATGTATAATATTGTGTTTTTATACATCATTTTTGCTAGTCAAGTGTTTCTGATCTGCTTCACTCCTCACAAACTTTGGTCTTGATATGCCATTTTAAAGACAGAATTGTTTATGTCAAGTAATCTAAAATCTGACCTTAAAACACTGTTGCATTATGCAAAATAAAGTGTAATTAAAAAGAAGTGTTAAATGATTTCTATTTGAGAGTGTGTTGTGCTACTTTCTATTTAGATGACATCAGTATATAAGATGGCCATAGTGTTATATAATTATCATTTTTTTTAATAGATCCTCTTCATTAAATTTTGTGTATTTAGAAAGAAAAAAACATCTTGGAGATCCCGTAAACGAATAGTTTTGTAAAACACTCCATGATTGGTTAAATAATATTGTAAGAGTCCAATCACATTGATAGACCAAGGGATTATAAGGAGTGGAATGGATTGGAATAACTTTTTTTGTTAACAATGAAATCTTGCAATACTCAGTGATGTGCTAAATACTGAGTAGACTTTACAATACTCAGTGACTGCCAAATTTTACTTTCAATTTTCTTGTGCCAATCAGTATTGTGAAGGAAATGCAAAACATCTTTTCATTTGTATTACATTTTAATACATCTTTGTACAAATTATGTTTTTTCATGAAATTTTGCATATATTTTTAGTAAACTGCTAAAAATTATTTCAGTTTGCTACAACTGCATACATTTTTATTGTTTGTATATCCTTTTAGCTCACCTGAGCTTAAGACTTAAGTAAGCTTTTCTGATCCAAAGCTGTCCAGCATCTGTTTGTATAGTGTTATTTGTAAACATGCCACATTTTTGACTTCTTGAGAATCACTAGACCTATTTCAACTAAACTTGCGATAAAGCATCCTTGGATGAAAAAGATTTATGTTTGTTCAAACCTATTTTAAGACGAGATAATTAAAAAATAGTAAAAATTTATTGGCATCTTTTCAAAATCATGATCCTTGGGGAAGGGAGGTGTTAGAATGGGCAGTCAAAATTTTACCTCGGAAGAATCTCTTAAAAACTAGCAAAGCCATGATAAGTCATATTTATATTGAAGTATCATGAAGTTGTGTAAATTCTAGTTGTTTTTTTTTCATATCATGTCCCCAGGGAAAAATGGGGACCACAATGGGCAATCAGAGTATTCATTATCTTTTAAGTCCATTTCTATGAAAATTTTACTTTCAAAAATGGTCATGCCCTCAGCATTTTATGACATTTGATACATGGCAACTTGGTTTTACAAGGAAATGCAAGACAAACTTCAGATATAAGTCAAACCTGCTTTAAAAGTTTCATATTGATGCATGTTTTTTGTACATATTCTTTTTTTTTTTTTAATTTTGCATGTTTGATTTAGATAGTAACATTTACTACATTTTCTTATATATACTTATATAATTTCTTTCATGTGTTCATAATCTCAAGATCTAGATACTTAGATTTCTTAGAATAGTTGACATTCAAACTTATCATGCTCGTTACATTATATGAAGTTTCATAAATGTCATTTACATTTTATTACAAAATGCAAGATAATTTTTTTAATGTATTTTAATCTCAAGATCTAAATACCTAGATTTCCTAGAACAGTTGACATTCAAACTTAATCATGCTCGTTACATTATATGAAGTTTCATAAATGTCATTTACATTTTATTACTAAATGTAAGATATTTTTTTTAAATGTATTTCGTTCTGATACATATAGTTTTCTATATACCACAATGTTTTTTTTTCCTTGTGATTATGCATGGTTTGTTTTACTTGTATACTTTCCCCCCTATTTGTTTCATGTATTCATTATATTTTTAGTATTTTTTAGATCACATATAAACTTAGTCATGCCCATTAGTCACATTATGTTTTACATACATAAGGTTTGCTTCACAACATTTTACTTTGTACTTCAATAAATTTGCATTCTTCTTTTTCCACACTTAATATTATAAAACATGTGTTGCTCTCAGTTTATTTGTAACATTAGTGTGTATTACATGTGTTTGATATTGCTACCTCAAGATAAATATCTTATGTATCCAGTATGTGTGAAATTATTTAAATTTTTAACAAATAATTGGCTTCTCTTTTTACAGTTTTTGTTTTGTTTTGTTTTTTTATTTTATTACCAGAAATACATTCCTGTTAAATCATATTTTTAAGTTTTTGCAAGCATTTCCACACTGTATTTTTTCATATCATTCTACAAAATCTATGTAATCCAATATATTTACAATGCATGAATTTAAGTAAGTTTCAAAGATTGTGAAAACTGTGGCAAGAGTACTTTTTACTAGTTTTGCAATATTCTTTTATTTTCCATGAAAATGAATTAAAAAGTTGCAGTTGAGTGATTTCTTTTTTCTTTTTCCCCCTAGCCCAGATGTACTTGTATCTATACTTCAGGAAATTGCCAACATACATGGGACGCATGTTATTATCTTTTTAAAAAAAAACATAAATCTAAATTTTGGGAACTACAGGCACTTGTTTCTGTAATAAAAATTTAAATTAACCAATGGTATTGTAATAATACAAGGTACGCAACTTCGAATTACATGAGTACCCCCCTCCCCAGAATCACAAACATTTAAATTTTCAGAGGAAATGCACTGACAAATAAAGAATAAAAATAAAGACAAGGATATCATATATGGTTGTATAGATAAATTATCTTAGAAGTCAATGGTAATAAACAGTTTGCAAGACAAGTGCATTTCCTCTGAAAGTTTAAATGTTTGGTGATTCTGGGGAGGGGTACTCCATGTAATTTGGAGATAAGATACTTTCTGTTTCTATGATGCTATAAATAAATTTTTTTTACAGGCACAAGTGCCTGTGAATAAAGTTCTATAAATAAGACTTAAAAACATGCAAAATTCTGCTCATTGCTATATTCAGGCCTCCGTCTTCCAGTACTCACAGTACTTTGATTTTTTTTAAGTCTAAAGATCTATAGATCATCCTGATTCCTCGTTAACTGATGAAACAATCTTATGAATTTCTGTCACTGTAAAGTGTTTGCAGAGCTAGCAGTCGATGGGGTTATTCAGTAGTACATTATACAAGTTAACAAAGTAAATAATCGTCAGAAAATTATACACATCGGAATATTATTCTTTCGTTCGAATTTCCTCAATGACAACGTTGTAGGCTAGTATTCGTTCGTTCGAATATTTTCAATGTGTACACTAGCTGATGATTGTACTTAAAAAATTATACTGTCATGTCTAAATTTGTCTGTAATTTGCAAGTTACAATTTATAAGTATCTTGATCACAGTCATCAGCATTACTGATTAGAAAATTAATTATCTTCTCTCAGACATGGTTAAAAGTATCCTACTACTGTAGTGTACTAGGGATTAACAAACATTGCATGTGTTGCAAGTACTATTTTTTTTTTGGTGTCAAGATAAATTTTGAGATATGGGGGGTCAATGCTTATAGTACATGTCATGATGGACATAATTAATAACCCCCAAAACTCCTACTTATATTGTTTGGAAGTATCCAAATATCAAATTACTAATTCTCTGTTAGAAAATTGGTTGATCCTCTGAAGTTTACATAGGACATGTACCCACATGATTATTGATATAATCAATGTTTTTTTTTTAATCTCTGAAAAACAGTCTTAAAACTTTGAGTGAAAAATCAATCTTTATACTGCTAAACTCATTTTTTATACCATGAATACATACTTAGGAATATCATTATTAAGTTATGTTCATGTTCTTTTTAGGGGAAAAAATATACATCATGTAGATGCTTATGTGTAAGTAAATTATAAAAGACAAAAATGCTAGGACTTTTTTATTTTACATATTTATTTGTAAAAATATTTTTTCTATTAATTGGAAATGAAATAAAAAAAAGTTCTAGCTTTATTACTACATTTGTAATAATATGATTTTTTATTAGAATTGATAGGATATTGGATGTTTAAGAAATAAAGACCGCATTCTCGTGAATGTTGCAGGATAACCTGCAATGTTAATGTAGACTTAGATTTAAATTACACAAGGACTCCCATGCCAATTTCAATAGTCCTCACCCACTGAAGTCAAACACAAAGGTAGTCGCACGAGATTTACATGCATATTTAGCCTCCTTAGCGTCAGACACAGAGACAGGTGCGCACGAGATTTTCATGCATATTAGGCCTTCTTAGCTCCTGACCTATCGACCTGCCTAATTTACATTCCGATAGAATTATCAAGAAATCAATTCCGCTAACTTTCAAAGAGTTACCACAGAGAAAAAAAAAAACAGACATGGAAATATTATGGCATGACATCATGAAAAATTCTCAAGGGCATAAAACTACTATATACAGATACCGGTAAATGAATGCAGAACATGCACAAAGTTTCATTTATGGTATATTGATAGATAAAAATAATTTATACTTTTATACTTCGACCTCAGTAGGGGTAAATTTTAGCGTCAGTTATTTTGGCTGGATCGAGAAATTTGAGTGATCGATATTCAATTCATTTTCTAATTTTAGTGAAAAATTTAATCCATGCTTTGTTATTATACATGTAATTGGTATTGTATGATTTATTCTATTTTTTTTCTTTAACAGAAAATGAAGGTATAGTAGCTGACATATAGTGTACATGTACCACTTGAAGATTTGTCCCCCTTGTAGATACAAGAAATGCAAAGGTAATTCTTTGTGAAAATAGAGAGAATGAATAATAAAATTTTTCAAACCATACAACAAAAACTACTTTGAATAATTAGTACGCAACCAACCATTTACAATTTAATTTTGCAGTTTTATTTCTTTAACATTGAAAAAAAATCAAATTTGATATTTTTTTTTAGCTCTACTGGTCAGAGACCAGAAGAGCTTATGGGATAGGAAGGTGTCCCTCATCCATCCGTCTAGCAGTCCGTCTGTCTGTCTGT